TCTGGTTCCATTGACTTACATTTAAAGTAAAGTAGGTTTTTTCCTTCTCCTGTAAAGTTACCATTTTGGAGATACAAGGTTTTGTTTTGACAACAGTGACATGTTGATGATGGTAAAATAGTGGTAGTTTTGGGGACTGTTTTGCCTCACAACACCATGTATGTATCCCTCCACCATGAATGATAACAGGTTTTTAAGCCAAAAGCTATTAAAACTACTGAAAAAACAGTGTCTCAGACATGATGGCAGCGTATCCACGATCATTTCATGTAATAACATTCTCTGAGAAACAGCTTTGGGCCGATATTATTGAGATGATATTCTGCAAATATAGTCTTGTAATAATGTAGATGTTTACAGTGTCATGGCTATGTATAATAAATCAATAGTAAACTCTTTAGCATTACAGTCACTGCACATCCAGTGTCTATTATATAAGAGTGGCCGCAACAACATGTTCTTTATTGGTTCTCATATCAGCCCAGAATTTCAGTGCAACCCTAATGTACAGGATGAAGCCGTCTAGCCAAGCGTGCTAAGCTAAATGCTAACTGCTTAACTGGTGTAATGTGCCACTAAGAGGATCTGAGTGTTGGATTAGAAGGTTTTAAGGAACCAAGATGATAATCTTGCTAAGTCTCTCCTGCTTGAGAGTGAACTTCACCTAGTAACAGAATGTGTGTGTGTGTGTGTGTGAGTGTGTGTGTGTGTGTGTGTGTGTGTGTGTGTGTGAGCTACAGGCTAATGTAAGGCCTTAAGGGCAACAGATTTGTATGAGGTTCATGTTGGAGGGATTTACACTGAGAATGAAGTACTTGAACTTATTGGCCATTTTGACTAATTAACTTGAACTGTACTTAAAGAATCAAATTGAATTGAACTACACTAAAAGAATCAAATTGAACTGCACTAAAAGAATCAAATTGAACTGCACAAAAGGAATCAATTTGACCCGAACTGTTCTAAAAGAATCAATTTGGACCGAACTGTACTAAAAGAATCATGTTACATTAACCTGTACTAAAAGAATCAAATTGAACTGTACATTAAATAAACGGATGATCTTTTAATATCTCAGTATGTAATAATTTTGTGTAAAAATAATATGTCCCATATTTATTAGGTACCAATATGTAAAAAAAAAATAAATAATTGGTTTTGCTTTTTAGTCTCTTCTTCCTTCTCTCTCCCCCCGCCCCTCTCTCTCTCTCTCTCTCTCTCTCTCTCTCTCTCTCTCTCTGTTGATTGTAAGTGCAGCTCTATCATTGGCTAATATTTCTTACAAGCCAAGTATGGAGGCAGGTTGGCTTTCACTGAGAACTCTCTCTCTCTCTCTCTCTCTCTCTCTCTCTCTCTCTCTCTCTCTCTCTCTCTCTCAGTGCCACACAACCATGTGACCAGCGTGGCATTTCACATTTGTGAACCACACACACACACACACACACACACACACACACACACTGTACACAGCAGCGGCGTAGCCAGAATTTCATATTAGCCGACGTAGTGTAACATTGCAGTTCATGGCTGACGCAGCTGTGTAAACATCACCATGGTAACAGCGGCTGATGAAAATTGGTGATGATGAAAGGAGAGCTTCGGCGGACACTTCTGTTCGTTGTTAGTTTAAGATGACGTATGGGGAAGATATATGGACGTGTATCTTTATATATTCTGAAATACATTCCAAACATTAAAACGTATTTCAGAATATGTTACCAAATTAACCGAATATATTTAAAAATACATTTATTAAATAAATATTACACATAGAAATGTACCGTACAAAAATAAATGTGTGTAAATGTTTATCAAATCCATTTAAAAATGTATGAAAACAGCCAAAATACTGTCTGATCCACTGTTTACTGTCTGATACCTTTAGAAATGAGTTTGTGTTCCAGTATCTTCATTTTAAATATGATCAAATGATCCTTTAACAGGACAGAAGCGAGTGTTGTAGGTATTGATACTCTACTATTATTGATGATATTGAAATGCAGTTATGATCTGATATCTTGTTTATGTGAAGTATTGTGTGTGAGAGTCTGACTGCAGACGTACATGGTTAAAGTACAGTGCAGATCACAGAAGTCAGTACCGTTCATTCAGCTCATGGATATTCAGTTCTATCTGTAAACATTATTAAAACTGCATACAACTGAAAAAATATAACAACAAATATAAATAAGGGCATTTTACAAATATATTTAATTTAAATTTTTTTGGCTATTTTTATACATTCCAAAAAGTATATTTGATAAATACATTTGGAGTATTTTTTTCCACATGGAACAAACTAACCACCTCCTGAAATACAAGAGCATTTCAATAGGCAGGTCTTTTGAGCTGTCATGTTTGCGTCAGTCAGAAAAACCAGAATATCTAGAAAACAGTGCAGTTTTTGGACATGGCTTGTGGTTGCATTGTTGTCAAACTCAATGAACTAAATAACTCCACAGTAATTACTTGTGTGGTTTAATCTTACCAGAATTAATTTTCTTGTGAAAATCTCTAAAATTTTCTCCTAGGAACGATGCCACTGGAACCCTAACCTGCTACAGAGGGCTGGTTTCCATGCAGGGGTGGGCGATACGCCAAAAATATTATATCACGATACTTCAGGACATTTTCATGATACACAATCATTCCAGTATCATGATCATTTTTCTAAGATTTAATAAGCTGGAACAGACTTATAGAGCCTGTAGTGCCACCTACAAAAATACAATAATAATAATAATAATAGTAATAATAATAAACCTACAACTACAAGCTTTTTATTCAGAGTTTTACAAACTGCACTGCTCTAAATCCAGTTAAACAGGCCGAATTGGCGTGCATTCCGTTGTAAGTGCGCTGGTGCAATATGGCTGCTGCTCGTTTTTTCATTTGTTTTGTTTTGTATTGTTTGAGTGTGTGTTTTGATGTTTCCCTGCTGGCTGAGGAGTTTGCCATCATATCCACCGAGATAACGGCTGAGAGTTTTTCCAACCGTGGGGTAGCGCTGCACCGCAGCTGTGATGCGGTCCGGACCGGCTGCTTGAGTGACGCTGTATTGTGGTTATGAGGCTGCCTGGACTGGCTGCTTGGGTGACGCTATACTGCAGCTATGGGACTGTCTGGATCGGTAGTGTTCGGCTGTGTGAGCTGCGCTACACCGCGGCTAGGAGGCCTCTTGGGCCAGCTGCCTAAGTGATGCTACATGGCAGCTACGTGGCTGCCTGGGCTGCCGCTTGGGTGATGCTGCACTGCAGCTATGAGGCTGCCTGGACTGGTAGTGTTTGGCCGCGTGAGCAGCACTACGCTGCGGCTATGAGGCCTCACGGGCCGGCTGCCTAAGTGACGGTACATCACAGCTGTGGTGGGCCGACTGAGGCTGCTTGGGCTGACTGCTTGGGTGATGCTGCCTTGCAGCTATGAGCCTGTCTGGACTAGACTGTTGGTGTTTGGCAGGAAAACGCTTGGTGGCTAAGGACATTTTCGGCCTTCGAGGCTTCCTGGGCTGACCGCCTGTGTGACGTATCATAGTTGTGGAGTGAGACTTTCCCTGCAGCTAAGGACTCTTTCCAGGCTCGCTAAGTGTCTCTATACTGTGGTCATTGTAACCCCCCCTTGCTAGCTGCTGGAAATGTAGAGTTGTGTGTGTGTGTGTGTGTGTGTGTGCGTGTGTGTGTGTGTGTGTTTTTGTGTAGTTGTGTTTGTTGTTGTTCATGTATTTTGTAACTTTCTGATCTCTTTGTAAAGCGTCTTTCGGTTTGAGAAAGGCTCTTTATAAATTGAATTTATTATTATTATTATTATTGTTGTTAATTGTGCTCACTTTGTAAAGAAACATGCAGTTGGTCAGTTGTTCTTTAAGTACTGATGATATCCACGATATGTTCAGAAAAGCATATTGTGACACAGTTTGCGTCAGTGAAGGCCTGGATGTGCTGCTGACTAACTTTCCTACAAACGGAGAATTCATTCCTTATATTGTGTGTGTGTTTGTGTGTGTGTGTGTGTGTGTGTGTGTGTGTTTGTGTGTGTGTGTGTGTGTGTGTGTGTGTTTGTGTGTGTGTGTGAGAGATCAGCACTATGTCAATATCTCCCACTTGGCTCTTCCCTCATTAGAGCTTCATCTGCTCACACTACTATCAGCTACACCTCACTCTGCTGGTATTCACACACACACACACACACACACACACAGCGGTGCTTTGACGGGCGGGGTCTGTGTGTGTGTGAGGGGGGGGGGTTAGATAAGAAAAGGAACTCTGTTTGAGGAACACCAGGATCACTCAGATCTTTAAAAACATATCAGACACACACACACACACACACACACTTACACAGATTGATACTCATATGGGATCATATTGATTCAGCCTCAGCTGAACACACACTCAGCTGAGTGGGGGAGGGGGGGTAAACAGATATAGAGAGGGAGAGAGTGAAGAAGAAGCAAAAGAGAGAGAGAAGAAAAAGGAGAGAGAGAGAAGAAAAGAGGGAGAGAGAGAGGAAGAAGAAGCAGAAGAGAGGGAGAGAGAGCGAGAGAGGGAGAAGAAAAAAGAGAGAGAGGAAGAAGCAAAAGAGGGAGAGAGAGAGAGAGGAAGAAGCAAAAGAGGAAGAGAGGTAGATAAAGAGAAAAAAGAGAGAAGAAGAAGCAGAAAAGGGAGAGAGAGAGAAGAAGAAGCAAAAGAGAGAGAGAGAAAGGGAGAGAGAGAGAGAAGAAGCAAAATATAGAGGGAGAGACAGAAGAGGAAAAACAAGGAGAGAACGTGGGGAGAGAGAGAAGAAAAAGAAAAGGAGAGAGAGAAAGTGGGGGAGAGAGAGAAGAAAAAGAAAAGGAGAAAGAGAGGGGAGAGAGAGAGGAAAAAGAAAAGGAGAAAGAGCGAGAGGGGGGAGAGAGAGAGAGAAGAAAAAGAAAGGGAGAGATAGAGAGAGGGGAGAGCGAGAGAGAAGAAAAAGAAAAGGAGAGATAGAGAGAGAGAAGTGTGTTGTTTGAGTGGGTGTTGCTCTGCTATTCTTAGGAACTCTGCTCTAAGTCCTACCACTGCTGTTCAGGTCTCACAGCCCCACAGACCCTCAGACAGGCGCCCTCCTCCTCCTGAACGGCCTCGCGCCGGACAGCCTGTCCTTCCTCTCTTCTCTCGCTCTGCGCTGTTTCTGACACGGCCTGTAAGTACTGAGACCAGCCCAGTGTGACTGCGGCTTCATTCCATCCTCTAATACAGCTGAACTCTATCTTTAGCTGAGTCACGAGTGTGTGTGTGTGGGGGGGGTGTGTAGGGGTGTGTGTGTGCGTGTGTGCTGGGTCAGGTGAAGGGCAGGGTCACCACAGAGCGTGTGTGTGTGTGTGTGTGTGTGTACAGGTGCAGTAAAGTACTCTGATAAAGATCAGCACTTTTTGAGGCAGTGTTTGCAACACACATCGCTGCTGTCTGAACAACACCTAGTTTTTTTGTCGTTTTTCAGATTTTGACATAATCTCAAAACTTGCTCTTTATGCTGTGTGTAAATTTCATGATGAATGGACCAAAAGAAACGGCCCAAAAGGACTTGAAAAAAAGTCTGGTTCCATTGACTTACATTAAAAGTAGAGTATGTTTTTTTCTTCTCCTGTAAAGTTACCATTTTGGAGATACAAGGTTTTGTTCCGAGAGCAGCGATATACTACTCGCTGGAGAGATTGTTTATGGAGAACAAGTATGGTTAAATTTGTTGGAGAAAAAAACTCGTATCTCCAAAATGGTAACTTTACAGGAGAAGGAAAAAACATAGTCTACTTTTAATGTAAGTCAATGGAACCAGACTTTTTTAGTAATTTCTTTTGATCCATTCATCATGAAATTCAAACACAACGTAAAGGAAAACAAGCACTTTCACATTATGTCAAAAACTGAAAAAGAGCAAAAATGGAGGTATGAGGTTTTGTTCAGACAGCAGCGATACGCTATTTTCTCTTGCAGCTTTTTTTTTATCTTTTCTTTTTTCCATAAAAGGCCTTTTATGATGTTTGTGTGTTTTTTATGTAGTATCTGGTGTGTTTTGTCACTTAACGTGGCCAAGAACTGCCTACTTTGACAGGAAGGGGCTGTTTGAGTGTCATGCAAATAACCAATCCTGGAGGCTGTTCTTGTAGCATAACTTGTAGGCAATTTCCAAAAAGGGGCAAATAAGAAAAATAAACCTGTGGGAAACACATTGGCATGCGTCGGCAAACACATGAGGGTATCTCACTTAAAAGTGCTTCAAAGAAAGCTTTTAATAATGTACTGTTACAAGATACGTTCATATGAAAGATTGTTCATGTGTATCACTGTCGGAAGAAAACCTTGTATCTCCATTTTTGACGTTTTTCAGTTTTTGAGAAAATTAGAAAAAACCTGTTGCTCTTTACATTGTATCAAAATTTCATGATGAATGGACCAAAAGAAATGACCCAAGATTACTTGGAAAAACGTCTGGTTCCATTGACTTACATTAAAAGTAAAGTATGTTTTTTCCTTCACCTGTAAAGTTACCATTTTGGAGATTTGGAGGTTTTCTTACGACAACAGCGATATCAACATTCAAAGTGAGCGGTTAAATGGAGTATATGCTATTTTTTCTTTTTTACCTGAAGTCCTTTTATGATGTTTGTGTATTTTTTTATGTAGTATCTGATGTGTTTTGTCACTTAACATGGGCAAGAACAGCCTACTTTGACAGCAAGGGGCCGTTTGATTGACATGCATGTAGGCAATTTGAGAACGGGGCTACAAGAAGAAACAAACTCATGGGAAAAACATGCAATGGCTAACATGCAAGGCATCCTCGCTTTGAAGCAGCTAAATGCTTCAAACAAAACTATTAAAGACACATTTAGGTAAAAGTTTCCCATTGAACTGATAAAACCCTCTGCATGGAAGTGCGTTCACACAGACGGGTGAGTAGCCAATTAGAATGGAACTGACAAAATTCCTGCAGTCGTGGTTAGCTTAGCTTGCAAACGATGTACACGGGTTGGCGCGTCTGAGGCTGAGACTCGTTTTTTGTAAGCAAAACAGTTTTAGTTTAATTCTATGACTATTTTCCAACATCTTAGAGCTAAACTGGCTAATCGATGCTGTCGGGACAAAACCTTGTATCTCAGTTTTTCGGTTTTTGAAATAATTTGAAAAAGCCTGTTGTTCTTTACATTGTATGTAAATTTCATGATGAATGGACCAAAAGAAACGGCCCAAAAGGACTTGAAAAAAAGTCTGGTTCCATTGACTTACATTAAAAGTAAAGTAGATTTTTTCCTTTTCCTGTAAAGTTACCATTTTGGAGATACGAGGTTTTGTTCCGACAGCAGCGATATGTAAACGAAATGGTCCCTTTAAATACAAATCACGAAAGAGCTACTGTAGGTACTCATGTGCACACAGCATTCTCATTTCTGGAGTTGACTTGTTTATTCGGACGGTTACCAAGAGTATGAGTGAGGTCATGCAGGTCATCTAGACCGGTGGTGGGTTATTTACAGAAGCCTCTGAAACTGCAGAGGGAAAAGCCCAACATTAGTCAGCACCTCTAGGCTCTTTTTATATCCCATCTTTCAGCATTAGTGCTAATACTGAATTTCACAAAGCAGTTTTTCTTAGCTGGACAATCTAAACAATAAATGATGGCTAATGGCGTTTGGCCTAAGGTTGTGTTCAGACTGCATTTTTTGCATAGAAAAAGTGTTTCTGTGAGAGCTTTTAGTGCTGATATGGAAAAGCAGTACATTACAGTGTTGTTAGCATGGCGTTCTGCCTTGCATTCAATTGGAATGGCTAATTAGCTAGTTTAGCTACCCATTCAGTATGATTTCTTACTCTGCTTTGGCCTCGGAGGCAAAAAATGAAGAGCAGAAGATCTGACATATCAGGGCCTGTATTCACAAAGCGTTCAGGGGCCGTATTACGGAAAGTCTGAAATCTTATCTGTTTAGTTACCATGATAACTTTAGTTAGGACTGAATTTGGGACAGTAGCTATTCCAGAATAACAGTTCCTAAGTTCATAATCTCATCATCAACTCCAGATAAGAAAACAGCATCACACAAACATCCTAACTAGACTGAACCTCCTAAATCCTGTCCTAACTTTAGGATGAACCCCAACAGGGTCCTCACTTCTGTTTAAGGTCCGCTTCTATGGTTTTTAGGCAGCTGAGTCAGCAGCATAGTTCACTACCAGCATAATGAGCTCCATTTATTTCTACTGTAAAACGCTGCTTTCACTGTGAGATGATTTTCTTTTCTAACTCTGCGTTTTAAAGATCTCAGACGCTGCAGACTCGATCTCCACCGCCCCTCTGATCACCTTCGTGTGTTAATGTTGATGATGAAATATTACAGTGATGGTGGTGAATAATGAGGAGACAGAGCTGAACGTGTGTCTGTTTATTAGGAGGAGTAACGTTAGCGCGCCCGGCTAAAGCGTTTGGAAATGGAGACTGAAACTGGGGAGCTGTTCTAGTTTGACCTTTTTTACCTCAGTTACAGCAGCTAAAGTTATCTCTCTGGCTAACTAGCTTGATTATGTGTTTACGTTTCGGCTGCGCTCGTCTGCTCGGTTGCTAGGTAACAGACGACAGTTGATTGTCGACTGACTGAGTTAAGACTTCTTAACTTGAGATAAGATGCTGTAAGATAAGATTTCTAAATTAAGGTCAGATTTGCTTCTGTAATACGAATTTGTGAAAAATCGTATCTTGACGTGTCGGATCTTAAGTTAAGACAAAAAAAGAGGAAGTTTCTGTAATACGGCCTCTAAAAAAACACTGTTGTAATGGCCACATGCCCACTTTCCACTGAACTACATGTAAAATATGCACCAGCAGTTGAGAAAAACACACTCAGTATGAGCGGCTCTTTCCCTGACCAAGACATTTCTGTCTAAGATCTCCAATAAGCCATAAAGGAAACTCCTCCTGGATCAGCATCGATCTCTGTCTTCTATAAGTGCAGGTGCTGGTCTTGCTGTGCTGCTCTTTGTCATTGACAAGAGAGAAACCACTGCATATGTGTTTCCCCTCAAGGCCTGCGAGCTCCCACACTCCCTCATGTTTCTCCTGCTTTAACACACCAGATTGAACTCATTAGTTAGTGCAGGGAACACACAATAACAGGGTTAGCCGTGAGCGAGGGCTGGAGATCAGCGTGGTCCACAGTGGAGTAAACCGTGGTATCACTTACAACTCATCTCCAGAGCACCACTGTCCACTACTCCCACGTACTTTTCTTAGTCACGTCCCATGTGACATTAAACACGACACCACCTGGCAGGCCAGCTGGATACTTCACACAGCAGTCGGATTACTCAACCAGGGGATCACTTTTTAAACCAGGTCTTTAAACCAGTAGGAATGGCTCTTTTGTTGCTGTAGGTTGTGCCTTAAAGGGGAATTCCATAGACTTCTTAACATAAATGAGTGGTTGAGATATAAACAAAGTGATTCAGAGTGGTTTGATGTGAAATGGTAGAAAATGAATGAAATGTAGAAAAATGTACTAACTCTATACAGTGGTGGTGATAGGAACCGGAGGTCGTCATGACTACAACACAAATATAGCCATTTTATTTACTATCCAAGACCACCAGTGAACCTACACGAGTCTTCTGAGTTTATATGGGGTGTTGATGATGGAAAATAGTCATAAATCTGAAAAACTAAGTTTTCTTTGGGGACTATTTTGCCTCACAACACCCTGCATGTATCCCTCCACCATGAATGGATTCTGAAAATACATTTTAGGCCAAAATCATCTCAAAACTATCATAAAACAGTGTCTCAGTCATCAGGCAGAATTCATAACCGTTTCATGTAGTAACTTTCTGTGAGGGAGCTTTTAGAGGTGGACGTCTGGTTCCTATCACCACCACTATGACTCGGTAAGTCTAGAACGGGGTGTTTCACACCAAACCACTCTGAATGACTCTGTTTACATCTCAGCCATTAAATTATGCAAACTTTTTTAAAAATCAGTGGAGTTCCCTTTTAAGTCATATGATAAACTGCCTCTTCCTGCTGCAAAATCTGAAAAAAAGCCTCTCAACAAGAGTAGCTCTGCAAGGCCGCAAAGACCCTTTCTAGTAGGCACAATAGGCAGGTGTACCATTCTGTCTCTTGTAGTAAGCAGATTAATGTGAGCTAGTAAAAGACCAAGTGCTGCCTCAGAAATATATGGTGTATAGACTTAATTAGATGACAGAAGCTTGGGGGTGAAACGTGGTCCAGCTTGCCTCAGAGTTGTTATCTTTAAATGTACGAAACGAATCCTAAAGATTATGATCCATGACTTCAAATCACTTCCTTTTTGACCAGGGCTTAATATTGTGTTAAAGGGCCCGTATCGTGATGGCTGAGTTTTCCTTGCTTTTTTGGAATGAAAAAGTTTGATATAGTATCTTTTACAATGTACCACTCTCTCCCCAGTCCATGCGGTCCATTAATGGAAGCTAAGCTGCAAAAAAAGCTGATTTTAATGAATTCAATTCATACATTAACATGCATATTCAACCTACAGACGCTTAGCTGTATAAGGAGCGTTTCAGCTCGGACTGCTTTTTGAATTAGGCACAGTGTAAGAGCAGCCAATCAGAACAGGGCTCATTTACATTTACCTCGTATCTCCATTTTTGTCGTTTTTCAGTTTTTGACATAGTTTTAAATCGTCGCCCTTTACACTGTGTGTAAATTTCATGATGAATGGACCAAAAGAAATGGCCCAAAATGACTTGGAAAAAAGTCTGGTTCCATTGACTTACATTAGAAGTAGAGTATGTTTTTTCCTTCCTTTTACCATTTTGGAGATATATGGTTTCTTCTGACAACAGTGATATATTAGTCTTAAATGCACAGCTTAGTTCATTCTAAGGGATAAAGAGAGGTAATGTACCAGTGAATTATGACTGTTTTTAGTACAGAAGTCGAATTCAGGGAGAAAAATAAAATTCAAGAGAAAATGTAAGATACAGGCTGTTTAATCGGTGAGACCGGTCAACATAAAAGGGCCTTTGATGACCCTTGTGTCTTGTGACTCGTCACTGTATGTCCCTCTTTTTGCAGTTGTCTGAAAAACATCCCCCACTCTTTGCTCTCTCCGTTCTCCAGACTCCTGTGTCTTTTCCCGTGAAGAGCTCCCCCTGGCAGCTGAGCGATGCAGGCGCAGGATCTGATCCGGCAGTTCCGGGTGCCCGACCTGGGCGACATGAGGCAGTACGTGCGAAGTTTGCCCACCAACATACTCATGGGCATGGGGGGGTTCGCTGCCATCACCACCTACTGGTACGCAACCAGGCCCAAAGCACTCAAGCCGCCCTGTGACCTCGCCATGCAGTCCGTGGAGATTGAGGTAAGCACACATGCAGTTATTTGCGTGAAAGTTTCAGCATTTTCCCATCACAGAGTTACAGTCGGATGCAAAAGTTTGTATACCCCTGGTTCACTGACATGTTTTGTTCATTTTCTAAGTGAAAATAAGTTAACATGTTTTTTTCTGTAGATTTTGTATTTATTTGCTGAGTAAAAATGTGCTTTAACTTGTGCACCGGCCACATTTTCTGTTTTGTTCATTGTTTCCAATATTTTAAATTCAGCAAATGAACAGAAATTGTGCATTTAAGAGTGCAGAAGTATGTTCTGTGTTAACTTACGTTCTCCTAGAAAATTAACAAAGCATGTAATGTGACCTTGTATGCCCAAACTTTTACTATGACTGTTTGTGTGAAGACATTGTAAAATTCCCAGTAGACTGAAGTGGGATTTTCCTATCTGAGGGTTTCAGTCTCGTGATTTTTCTTTCGTGGCCGCCATATTTGGGACCGAATTTCTGGCTTCACTGCTCCCTATGAACGTAACTTGAGGTGAAAGGTGGCTAAAATTACTCGCCTTACTTTGAAAGAGTAAAAACGTTCCTCTACACAGTCGATAAAACAGGCTGAGATCCTTATAGTTTCCCCCTGAACTCCTGGTGCCACTTAAACTGGTAGAAAAGCTACCAGATTTGTGTTTTCCTGATGTTTATATTGATCTCATACTCAGCCCCTCTCCCTATTCTGGAGGGTCTCTCAGAGCATTTAAAAGCACAGAAGCCCACCGGCTCTTCACGTCAGGGTGGGTAAAGGATCCCATGGTGTTCATAAAGAGGAGAAAGAACTCTGTGATCATAGGAGGGTAACGACATCAGCTAATTAACACAGATGAGATCAGTGCTGGCCTTTAGATAACTTTAGCTGATGTAAAGTAAAGTTAATCCAGCAATGTTCCAGATTTCCTCTAAAAAGCCTGAAAGCTCCATTCCAAGGGGAACCTGGGAATTTTGCTTGTGTGCACAAGCTTTGGATGGATGGTTAAAGAGACACTTCGGCCAAAATGAGAAAGAAACCCTTCCAACATCTGCTGTAAACATTATAACTTGTCTCCTACAGCAGTCTGGCAGTAGCCACTACACTCTCAGAAATAAAGGTACTGAACTGTCACTGGGTCAGTGCCCCTCTTGTCACTGGGGTGGTTCCCTCAATGGTCCATCTCAGTACCTTTAGTCAGGGAACATAACTGAACCATAATCCACTGAAATGATATGTTCTAAGCTGTACTGACTCCACACACCCCGTCTCGTCTCCAGGCTTTTATTTTACTGTTCTGTTTAAAACATTCGGTTATGAAAAGGTACAAATACAAACTTTTCACCTGGAAACACTTATTTAAGGTTCATAATCAGACCTACGAGAAATGTACCTCCACAGAACCTTTATTTCTAACAGTGCAGGGTGAGATTTTCCAGGTTAAAGACTAGAAAACCTCCCTTCTGGTGAGATATCCTGAATGTGCGAGGAACTTTTGAACTGCTTTTGGGTTCATTTTTGAAGGTTCTGAATGTTTTCGCATTGTTTAGCTGGTGAAAGCAGAAGGAATGTGAAGGTGAAGCCATTTCTGTAATCCATTCTCCTCACTGCAGCCATATAACTGTAGTAAATGTAGTAACTGTCTTCAAATCATCATTACAGTGGAGAGAGTGGATTAGAGAATGGACAGAAATGACTTGTTAAATGAGGAGGACAACAAGCTAAAAGCTAACAAGGCAGCTACCTGGCTATCTAGACATCTTACCTCAGTTTGGCGTCTTTTCAGTGGCTGAAAGGATAAGAAACTTGTCTCCTGCTTCCAGTTTGTGCTAAATAAAGATAGAATTGCTGAGGTCAGAGTTACACTGATGCTAGCTTGGTTGTATTTATTAGCTTGTAGCTCATGGCTAGGCTAGCAGTACGACTGACATCACAGAGATTCCCAATAGTAGTGTAATGTATGCTGGGTATTGTAGTGAGAGAACATTGTAGAACAAAAACATGAAAATGATATAAAATTGTGAAGTTTGACTAATATAGTGTCCAAAAAGGGATTTAATGCTACGCTATGGAATATGGCCTAAAGTTTTAGGCCTAAATGGCGAATGGTGTCCCCGAATGAAACCAAAGCAATTCACTGTTCTGAAAGCGCAGATTAAAGCATTAAAACAGATTTTTTATATGTGTTTATTTAACAAATAGTGTGTTTGGCTATTTTCATAGTTCTCCTGTGGTCTTGTTCTTGTTTCTTATGGTTTAGCCAGATTTCAGTTCCAGTGGTGTTGCTTGTTTCCAAGACATTATCATTAGCCTGGGACAGTGGAGTCAAGGACAAATTGATATTGAGGAGATTTCTTGGTGCTCATTCAGTTTATTCAGGCTTTTTTGACCTGAAGGAATAATACATATTCAAATTTAAACATCTACCAACTCACCCCAAATGTAGTTGATCATATACTGTATGTGTGGTGTTTGAAGAAGCTTCAAAAAACAGGCAAAAGTACAGACAGATTTTACCCTTTATTGCATGAATTATTACTCAGACATGATGTGCTTTATTATTTATATATAATTATATGTTATTATTTGTTATTTAAAATTGCTTAAATAATGGAAATATTTGAAAAAAAAAATTAAGGGGGGTAGTTGGTAAATTGTTGCCATATGGCAACAATGTGCAATCGTGGAAAGCACCATAACATTTTCTCTAAAAACATCCGTTTATTGAAAACAAGACTAAACAAATCCAACTTATACTTAGTGAAATGTACAACCCAATATTTACAAATATTGGAAAGTAGTAAAATTTCAATTGGTATTTGGAAGGTATGGTAATCATAACATTATAATAAGATTTCCTGGTCAGGTGATGTACTGAAGTATTTGTCCTTTGAAAGTAAAAGACCCTTTTTCTACTATTAAATAGCAAAACACAGATTATTATTACTGCCTTTTAGTAAAATTGAGATAAAGTAATTGTTGCCATATGGTAACACTGCAATTGAGGGTTAAGCAACAGCTATATTTTCAGGTGTTGACCTGATTGGAATACATTTTCTTGGCTGTGGATAAACAGATCAGGCAAACACATGTGTACCAGTTATATTGAAAGTATGATGCGAGCGCTGGGGAGCAGCACAACTTCTGCTTTCTCACTTACAGCAAGAGCTAAAAACGAGGAAACACTGATGTAAATAAGTCAGTTTAGAAACAAATGATAGTGGAGCTCTTACAGCATAGATGAGCCACAGCTGGACTGATGCCATTCCTTTTGCACTCTTGGCTTCATAATGTTTAATAAATCTGCTTGATGATAGCCAATATCTCTGTCAACTGACTTTACCTGCTTTTGTCTGACTGGTCAACTGACTTTTACCTGCTCTTGTCTGACTGGTCAACTGACATTTACCTGCTCTTGTCTGACTGGTCAACTGACTTTTACCTGCTTTTTTTGACTGGTCGACTGACTTTTACCTGCTTTTGTTTGATGACTGGTCAACTGACCTTTACCTGCTCTTGTCTGACTGGTCAACTGACTTTTACCTGCTCTTGTCTGATTGGTCAACTAACTTTTACCTGCTTTTGTTTGATGACTGGTCAACTGACGTTTACCTGCTTTTGTTTGACTGGTCAACTGACTTTTATCTGCTTTTGTTTGATGACTGGTCAACTGACTTTTACCTGCTTTTGTTTGACTGGTCAACTGACTTTTACCTGCTTTTGTTTGACTGGTTAACTGACTTTTACCTGCTTTTGTTTGACTGGTTAGCTGTCTTTTACCTGCTTTTGTTTGATGACTGGTAAACTGACCTTTACCTGCTTTTGTTTGACTGGTCAACTGACTTTTACCTGCTTTTGTTTGACTGGTCAACCGACTTTTATCTGCTTTTGTTTGACTGGTCAACAGACTTTTACTCGATTTTGTCTGATTGGTTAGCTGTCTTTTACCTGCTTTTGTTTGATGATTGTTTGATTTTATAATGAGGAAAACATTTTGTGTGTGTTTTTACAACAGTTTAAGGTATTTACATTGTATTAAAGTCAAAAGGGCTCCTTTAAACACCCACTACAAACTGATACAGATGCTGCAGCAAGTCCTCCCACCATTTGGGTCTGGATGGAATAGAAATTATGCAGTGCTGTTTTGGGATTTTCACATGTTGAAGTGCTTAGTTAGCTCACTTTTACACACGATCTCCACGGACCTGTGAAAACGGAAAGCGGACAGAAGCAGTCGTGCCTGTGAGTGGGGGAGAAACAGAGAGCTGGTCACAGTGTATACAGTGAAGACCCAGAGCTGGATGTCTGAATGTTACCTCCACTGCAGAGCGTCAGATGATCTGACTTTAAGTGCTGAATGCTCATATTCACAGAGCAGCGCTGTGGCTTTGATAATGTCCCATGGCTCCGTTTCCTGTCTTTGGAACAAAGGGAGTGTTTATGTGGACGTACGTGTGCATGTCTGTGTCCGTGCTGGAGACGGATGTCCCTCATGCAGCTGTTTCTGTCATAGAATGTGACCTAATTCTCCTCCTCCCTCCTGCATTCCAGTCCTGTCTGTTATTTCTGTTCCTCTGAACGTGAGAGAGAGAGAGAGAGAGAGAGAGATAGTGAGAGAGAGAGAGAGAGCTTGAGTGTGGTGTGTCCAAACAAAGCCTACAGAATCCTTCTAGTTTTCTTTTTATAATCCTGATATGCCTTAAATAGTGTAGCAGCTCTATTCAGCCTTTAGGTGCCCCAGTGCTCCAGTGTAGTGACGTGTCCTTCGTGAACGAGTCGGCTCTTTTAGGTGAACATCGAGATGCGACTCGCATTAAGAAGCTTTTTAAGCAGATCTAATGGACTCTGATCTTAGCTTTAGCAGGCATGTCAAAGCAGGTACTAAATCAGCTTAAGAACATCAAGGTCGGAGATTTTCTGACTGAATCATCCCATGCCTTTATTCCAAGCAGGATTGATTACTGTAATGGTCTCCTAACTGGACCAAAAAAGACAATCCAACAGCTTCAGATGATGCAAAATGCAGCTGCCAGAGTCTCACTAGGAGTGAAAGAAGGGAACCCTCGTTCTTAAGTCCTTACACTGGCTGCCAATCTGTCACTGAATAGACTTTAAGGTGGTGTTACCGGTTTATAGGGTCTCTTTTCCACTGTCCAAATTTTTTTTTCACTGAGCTGAACGGTTCTCAGTTCCGCGCTAGTCCGGACTGGTGAGACCGGTTACGGTTTCTTTTTCTGTCTGTTGTGCTGCTACATCAGAACCAGGAAATACTGAAGAAAACTACACAAACAAGTGTCTAACAGCTAACAGGCTAATAGCTACATACACACCACCCACGACAACAGGTTGAATTTGGTCTGCCACTCCAACTCCAGTCTGTTGGTGCACTCTCAGATTCTTTTTCCCCTAAACGGGTGTGATCCGTTACTGAAACAGCCTGCCCCGGGGTGGATTTCACCTGTAGCCGGCTAATTACACTAGCATCAGCATCGCCAGGCAGTGGCTAGCTAAGCTAACACTAACCAGCTACTTGAGGTCTAGTCTGGTTTATGCTGGTCTGGTGCTGGTTTAGCTGGTCACCCAGCTTGGTCAAGGTTGACCAGCATACCGGCATCCAAAACACAACATATCATCGCTCCCCAAAACAACCCATATATCTCCATTTTTGTGCATTTTTATCTTTCTACACCATTTAAATTTGGCAGCTGTCCTTTACATTGTGTTAAAATTTCATATGGCAGACTTTTACCTGCTTTTGTCTGACTGGTCAGCTGACTTTTACCTGCTTTTGTCTGACTGGTCAACTGACTTTTACCTGCCTTTGTCTGACTGGCCAACTGACTTTTACCTGCCTTTGTCTGACTGGCCAACTGACTTTTACCTGCCTTTGTCTGACTGGTCAACTGACTTTTACCTGCTTTTGTCTGACTGGCCATCTGACTTTTACCTGCCTTTGTCTGACTGACCAACTGACTTTTACCTGAAAATTTAAAATGGTGCATCGGAATAATACGCCCCTCGCTCTCTGTATAGTGCTCCAATGTAGGGAACAGTGATTAAGGACCGTTTCTGTTCCCTATAACAGTGTTCTATATAGTGCTCCTGATTTTCTAATGTAGGGCTATACATAATAGTGTTCTAAATAATGATTAGGAGCCATTTATGTTATATATACGGTGCTGTTGCCTGTTGTAGTGTTTTACATGGTGTTCCCTATATGGTGTTTCACTATATATCCCTGTGGTGTCCTATATGGTGTTTTATATAGTATTTCTGATTTTGTTTTGTGAGCAGTAGCACTTAGGGAACGCTTTTGAACAAAGCTACAGCGCTCTAGTTATCATAGTGATATTACAACCACACACATACAAGAGGAGACGAGGAGAAGCTCTTGGCAACGCCTTTGCCTGCATAGTTGCCATGGCGACACCAGAGAAAGTCTTGGCAACCGCCAGTCTGTCTAAATTTACCACAACACCTCAGGCCCCCCTCTCTCTCTCAGAACCGGTCCACTCCACTGATCCCCTGCAATTTCCTGATTGCCTTCTAAGAATTCGGAATTCTGTTACTGTGTGCGAACCTTTACTGTCTGATCATAGAAGACAAGGCTTCTCAACTCTATGCAAAGGAAATATATTTACATACATCTCTGACATATATGTACATATTAGAAATAGACGTCTTATATTTAATCTACCAACATATATCTGCTTTCCAACAAAGGGACTGTTTATGTTCTTTTATTGTTGTTTGTTAGTTAAAGATATGTGGGTTAATGTGTTTTGTGTGTGTGTGACCCCCTCCCCCCCTCAAGTTCAGTGTTTTGTATGTGCTTTTCTGTTGGTGTGGTGGTGTGTTAGGCTCCTTTTACCCTGTTCTTCAATGGTCGGGACCCCCACAGACCACCACGGAGCATGTATTATGTGAGTGCTGTCCACTTGCACCTGCACAACACACAATAACACACCATCACCACCACGTCAGTGTCACTGTAATGCTGAGAATGACCCACCACCCTAATGATACCTGCTCTGTGAGGGTCCATGGGGGTCCTGACCACTGAAGAACAGGGTAAAAGGGGGCTAACAAAGTATGCAGAGAAACAGATGGACTACAGTCTGTAATTGTAGAACTACAAAGTGCACCTATAGAGTAAGTGGAGCTGATAAAATGGACAATGAGCGTAGAAACAAGGAGGTGTACTTAATAAAGTGGTCGGTTGGTGTTGTATATTTGGTGATTTTCTGCGAATGTGTCTCTTCTGGTGATTCTCTCCTGAATGTGAGGCCCCTTCGGACCGATCTAATGCACCTCTTTTGCCCTGTATTTTCCTTGGCTGTCTTTTTCTGCTTCATTGACGCGCTGTCACTGTATTTTTGATTCAGTTATGCCTTTTTCATTTTGGTATCATTTTCATTTTTGTCTTCAAAGGGTTGTTTCTATATTTGCAGCCCCAAAAAAAGGTTTGAAAGCAGTCGGCAGCAAACTACACGCACAAGGACATACACAGCCATTCGTTTAGGCTGAAATGTACAATGCGTTCTACGAACTTATTTTCACTTACAAAATAAAAAAATGTCCAGGGGTGCAACTTTTGTATACAGTTACAATCATGATGTATACAAGTTTGTAAGCATGGTTTTAATTCATTGTGTTATGTGCTTGTTAGTGATTAATGAATGTGTTTAATGAATCACTACGTAACTGTAACCTCACAGCTAGAAGGGCCTGGGTTCGGTTCCCCGCCCGGGTAACCAGGGTCCTCTCTGTGTGGATTTTGCATGTTCTCCTCAGGTCTGTGTGGGTTTCCTCCCACAGTCCTCAGACATGCAGTCAGGCTGACTGGACATGCTAAATTGCTCCTAGGTATGCATGTGCATGTGATTGTATATGTCTGTATGTCTGCCCTGTGATGGACTGGCGGCCTGTCCAGGGTGTTTCCTGCCATCCAAACAATGACTGCTCCAGCACCCCCTGCGACCCAGAAGGATAAGTGGCTTAGAAGATGAATGAATGAATGAATGAATGCTTCATGTTCATGTAGTTACTGTAAAATATCACCCAGTCTTTTTACAGACTTGTATCTGCAGATTAAATAACCTGTTATTCCCTTCCTTCCTCTTTTATTTGCTTTAAGCATTTCAAGATTTTATTAAAGATGATTTAATTTCTCAGAGATTCCAGAAAGTCTGTGTTTTGTTTTTGTCTCTTTAGGGTGGGGAGTACGCTCGGCGCTCCATCCTGCTGGACGATAACAAGCTCATGACTCATTTCTACGACGATGCACGAACGATGTACGAGGCTTTTTTACGGGGACTAAGAGTTTCCAGTAAGTGTCTGTTGAAGAGACAGTAGTTTGGGATAAAAAGGTCAAAATAACAATAATAGTAATTTTTTTTATCGTTTACCTGCACAGACAACGGGCCTTGTTTAGGATCGAGACAACCCAAGAAGCCATACGAGTGGCTCTCGTATAAAGAGGTAAGTGGTCTTGTGGTATTGCAGCGTATTCAGGCTATAAGAGTCAAGAACCTCAAAAACAGGCACATCAGATTTTGATCCTTACAGATAATGTTGCACTCCCTTGTGTTCAAAAATTCTAAGGCTTAATATTCAATAACTGTCTCAGAACAATGAATTCACTATTATTAAGATCTAAAAATGAGGAATAGAAATGTTGGGCTACGAGTTTAGATCGTTCAGGATCTGCAAAATCTTTTACTCGTTCTGAACAGCAACTGTATGTTTTACATACTGTTAAAAACAATGGTAATAGTATATACTGATACATATTGCAAATATATATTATGCTTATACAGCAGTATACGACACTGTACTGAAACATACTCATAAAGTGTGTTAATTTAGAAGTGTTATTAATTATCTGCTTATAAACATTATTCTTGTCTTCACTCAGACGTTTTATTGTCTACCTATAAACTTTACATTTGTATTGATCCAGAAGTGTTATTGATTATCTAATTACTAACTTTACATTTGAGTTAACCCAGAGATGTTATTGATTATCTACTCATTTACTCAGTTTGTGTTCATCCAGAAATAGTATAGATCATAAATTTTATGCTTGTGTTAATCGAGAACTTTATTGATTATCTGTTAATAAACTTTACACTTTGGTTAATCCAGAAGTGGTATTGATTGTCTATTTATAAACTGTACATTTGTTTTACTCCAGATGTTGTGTGTTTACATTTACCGTGTGTGTGCAGGTTGCAGACAGAGCTGAACTGATCGGCTCAGCGTTGCTTCACAGAGGCCACAGTCAAACAGGAGACAAATACATCGGCATCTTCGCCCAGAACAGACCTGAGGTACACACACCTACTGTACATACCTACTGAACCCACACCTACTGTACATGCACACATACTGTACACACACATTCTGTACACAGACACTGTACACATACATACACACACTCAGGCATAAAGAAAATCAAGAAAGGGTAGAATTAATGGAAAATTACAAACAACTATTAAGTTCATTTTAAGCTATATACGTCTCCTAAAGCCTTTTACAATTAATGCAAAACTTTAAGTCTTCATTATTTTGCAAACGGTCTGTTCCAGATGCTTTAAGTGGTGGTAGAAACATCTGTATCTGCTGCAGTTTCAATAAACCATGAGAGGCTCTGTGTTAATTATTTTACCAGGGTTGTAGGATGTTGTTGGGCACAATGTGAAGCAGAGTAAAGCTCCATAACTGTGGTAAAATCATCTGTAACATGTGGCCTTAAGTGGCTTATTGCTTTTGTAAATGGTGACAAAATATATTACAATAAATAATTAATTTTCTAACTACTTTTCAACATATTTAATTTACAATAAATAGTAATCACAGTAAACTATTCTTTCTCCCTGCAGTGTAGTTTTTAACAGTGGGACATGCTTGCTAATGCTTAAAGATTATTCATTGAACAGACAGTTTATAATGATTTGACACATCACTGTAGGATTCACTTGATGTGTGTGGTTGTATGTATGTACAAACCCAATTCCAAAAAAGTTGGGACAGTGGGTGAAATGCAAATTAAAACAGAAAGCAGTGATTTGTAATTTGACCGACAGTACAAAGACATGACGTTTAATGTTTTATCTTATCAACATCATTGTTTTTTGTAAATGTACACTCATTCTGAAATTCATGAACATGTTCCACCAAAGTTGGGAAAGGAGCACTTTTAGACTAGGAATGTTGTTAATCACTTTCTGTTTTAATTGGAATTTCACACACTGTCCCACACTGTATATTGAGTATTTCACAGCAGCTTTGAGTGAGGCTTAGATTTTAGAAGCTGTTTTGTAAAAGTCAGTATTAAATTATTTTACTGTGGTGTGGTTACAGTGGACCATTTCAGAGCTGGGCTGCTACACCTACTCGCTGGTGGCCGTTCCCCTGTATGACACACTGGGCACTGAGGCCATCAGATACATTATAGACAAAGGTGAGAATGTAATACACTGTCACAAAACTCAATTACACATATAAAAGCACTGTAATGTACCATGTTTAAAGATTCAGGGGATCCAGCAAAGGGTTTGTAATGGCCTTCAGGTGGGTTAGGACCATGTGTTCAAAGACCTTCATTACTACAGAGGTCAGGGCCACTGGTCTGTAATCATTTAGTCCAGTAATGTTCATTTTTTGGAGGGGGGTTGGAATGATGGTTGAAGTTTAAAGCATGTGGGAACAGAGCAAAGTTCCAGTGATGTGTTCGAAGATGCACAGCAGTGCTTTAGGGTGGATGGAGAGGAATTATGCTAAATAACAAAAACAAAAGCATCTGAATACTTACTTTCGCACACTTAATGTTAGTGTAATAATATCTCTCTTCTTCTTCAGCCCTGATCTCAACAGTGATCTGTGACGTGGTGGAAAAGGCACGGACGGTTCTAGACTGTGTGTTGGGCCAAGAGCACAGCGTTAAGACCATTGTTCTAATGGAGGAGTTTGACAGTAAGCTTACAGCACGAGCGCAGCAGCAGGGCATCCAGATCATCAGCCTGAAAGAACTGGAGGTCAGCACGAACACACAAACATGTGTAGATGTACTGTACGGTCATATGCAGAGGTTTGTGCGCCCCTGGTCAAATGATGTTTTGTTGATTTTCTATGTGAAAGTAAGTTAAAACACCCTCTGCAGAGAAAATGTATGCATTTAAATGCACGGTTGAAATTTATTTGCTGAATTTAGCTCAAACTGGGGGACAACATATAATGTGATGGTACGAAAGTTAAAGCACATTTTATGTTATGGCACATTTAAACTGCACACATTTAAACTGCACACAGTATTTAAACTGCAGTGTGCTTAAACTGCTCAGTGTTTAAACTGCTCACAGTGTTCAAACTGCTGTGTTTAAACTGCTCAATGTTTAAACTACACACAGTATTTAAACTGCAGTGTTCAAACTGCACACAGTGTTTAAACTGCTCAGTGTTTAAAGTGCGGTGTTTAAACTGCTCCCAGTGTTTAAACTGCTCCCAGTGTTTATACTGCAGTGTTTAAAATGCACAGTGTTTAAACTGCTCCCAGTGTTTAAACTGCTCCCAGTGTTTATACTGCAGTGTTTAAAATGCACAGTGTTTAAACTGCTCAGTGTTTTAACTGCACACGGTTGTTTAAACTGTGTTTAGGGTTCCATTTTTAACTCCCTGTGAACCTTAAGATTATTATTCAGTTATTAATCTTTAAGGGCCCATATTATAAAAAACAAATCTCCTTTTTTTTCAAAATAAGAGTCTAATGTAATGTGTAAATATTATTGTTTAAAATGTACCGTTCACTCCCTGGTACCTGAAGTCCATATATTGTCGCTGTCCAAAGAAAATCATGCATCTCCATTTTTGTCGATTTTTATTTTTCTACATCATTTCAACACACCAGCTCTCCTTTATGTTGTGTGAAAATTTCATTAACATTTGATAAACGGACCAGTAGAAATGCACGGTTGAAATTTATTTGCTGAATTTAGCTCACTGGGGGAAAAACATATAATGTGATGGTGCGAAAGTTAAAGCACATTTTATGTTATGGCACATTTAATCATTTATGTAATTTTACTGGGGTGTTCAAACTATATACATTTATATATATATATATATATATATATATATATATATATATATATATATATATATATATATATATATATACATTTATACATATATATATATATATATATATATATTTTCAGACCAGACCAGGCCCAACTGGTACTGCTAAATCTGAAAACCAAACCCTACCATACCCTGCTTGTACACACTAAGAATAATGGATTATTTCAGACATGGTTTTACAGTGATTTGCTGGGATTAAGTGGTATTTTTTTTTTGTGAAATTGCCATTAAGAGAACAGCATCTATCTTTGTCTGATCATCTGTTATCCTCACTGCGCTAAAATTCCTTTTAGAGATGGAGACTCAAGTCATACTCGATTTGCATGTCTAGTGACTTGTGACTTGAATCAGACTCGCCCTAAAATGACTTGTGACTTACCTCGGACTTGCGACTCAAAACGAACAACTGATTAAACTGGGATCGCCAACCTTAATGGGGTGAACAAATAAAACCTTTCTTTTTCATTCCTGCTTGTGTGATGTTCTCTGCCAGTTTTGCTACAGTCGCGCAGTCATTACTGCAGTGCTGTTCTTCCGCAGTTCGCACCTGCAGTGGGTTTGATATGGACTAAATAATGAGCTTTTCATTACAGCAAAAAAAAAAAAACTTCAATCTGGACAAAACAAAGTGCTTCATGCAGAACGTTACAGATTCTTTGAGAGGTTCGCTAAAACATCAGATAGATACCTGCCAACTTCAGCCATAATAGCTATTGTGCTGGCTGCTATGTTTGTTACCCGAACTACACGCTATCAAACTGTTTCAGGTTGTTTTTTTCTGAAAAACTGCCTAGTGGACGTTCTGGAACAGAAATCGACTTGGCAGATGTTTTTATTGAATATGAAGCAAAATATATCAACAAAATATAATTAAAATTTAAATTAATATTTTTAAAATTTCAAAAATTCTAAAACTTCTAATTTTAAATCACAAAAGACTAGAGACTTGACTCAGGCTAGCACCCAAAAGATTCGAGACTTGACTCAGGCTAGCGTCTAAAAGACTAGAGACCTGAGTCAGACTCGCAGCCAAATGACTTAAGACTCAACTCATACTTGCGGCCAAAAAACTCGAGACTTGACTGACTCATGACCAAATAACTTGAGACTCGATTCAGACTCTCGGCCAAATGACTCATGCCTCAATTCAGACTCGCGGCCAAAAGACTAGAGACTCAACTCAGACTCAAGGCCAAATAACTCAAGACTCGAATCAGACTTGTGGCCAAATGACTTGGGATTTGACTCAGACTTCACACATCCAGCAAACTTAACAAGCAAAGGGGAAAAAGATCTGTTCTGATCTTTCCACCAACCAAACACTTCCCTCTCATCATCCCTGGTTTCACTCAGGGCCACATTCAACAGCTCCTGTCAGGTTGATCAAAAGACCTGTACCACAGTCCCCCAGTCCTCTACACGTATTTACAAGCATGAACCCAATCTGTGTCTTGCAGGCTATAGGCAAAGCCAACTACAAGAGGCCAATGGTAAGTAGACCCAGTAACGATGATCTGATTCTGAATGAAATAAACCCAGATTGTTTAGTTCAGTAAATGTAAACTGATGCTTATTGCTCTGCTGTGGTTTTGTTTCTGTATTGTATTATTGACTATTGTGTGGAATCTGCTGTAGCCTCCGAAACCAGAAGACCTCGCTCTGATCTGCTTCACCAGCGGAACTACTGGTAGGTGTGTGTGTGCGTGCGTGTTTTTGTAGGGTTGTTTAACAGTTCTACCCTTCATATTTCTGTGTGTATATATTCCATCCATCCATCCATCCATCCATCATCTAAACCGCTTATCCTTCTGGGTCGCGGTGGGGTGCTGGAGCCTATCCCAGCTGTCACTGGGCGGAAGGCAGGATACACCCTGGACAGGTCGCCAGTCCATCGCAGGGCAGACAGACAGACACATTCACACACACACACATTCACACCTAGGGGCAATTCAGCATGTCCAATCAGCCTGACTGCATGTTTTTGGACTGTGGGAGGAAACCGGAGTACCCAGAGGAAACCCACGCAGACACGGGGAGAACAGGCAAACTCCACACAGAAATGACCCTGGTCGAACCCAGGCCCTTCTTGCTGTGAGGCGACAGCGCTACCCACTGCGCCACCGTGCCGCCCGTGAATATATTCCATGAATCTGTAAATCATGATTTCTCTTCCATTTTCCGTGCGACACTATCAGGAATAGAAATGAAATGACAATAGAAATGAAAAGTTCAGAGAGCAGAGGCTGCGGATCTCAGACCGCTGTGTTTATAATTAATCTGAGGAATTCGTTTGAGTTCATTTTTTCTATTGTTGCGTCACCACATAATAGCTGATTTGCGTGAAGTTAAGAAAATTTCAGCTTGTCTTGTCGCTTGTCACCCTGCCGCCGTGTTGCTTACAGCTTGTCGCTAAATTGCGTACCTCCATGGGATATAATGGTTTTGAAATGGAAAACTTTATAATAGTAATTATTATAATAGTTACAGTTCACAATGACATAAATAGTAAATAGTACACTTTACTGTAGGTACAGTTCATAAGGCTACATGATACCTACATAAGTTTGTCAACTGACATAACCTGTCAGAAATGTTTAGAAATGCTTAAATACACTATGAAAGCCACATGTGCCAATTTTGATCAAAGTTAGTTAAAGTAGCCTTTATGACAGATGACACATATTAAAATAAGCATTTATAAACATTTATGTGGGGTTATGTCAGCTGTTGTGACAAGCATATGTACATGTCATGTAGACTTTTGTACCCTACAGTGAAGTATTACTAAGTAAATGTAGGGAAAGCCCTTGAGTACGAGTAGCTGTGTCCTAATGACTGACTGATTTTGTATTGCCAGTTTCTTTCTCTCTCTCTCTCTCTCTCTCTCTCTCTCTCTCACTCTCTCTCACTCTCTCTCTCTCTCTCTCTCTCTCTCTCTCTCTCAGATCTTGTGCCTTTCTGAAGGAAAATAAACATCATCTCTTTCTTTCTTTCAGGAAATCCGAAGGGAGCGATGCTCACACACGGCAACGTTATCTCCAACTGTGCCGGCTTCATCAGAATAACTGAGGTAAAGATGAATGATTCAGGAAATCGCGTCAAAGGGCAGTGTTTAAACTGCACACAGTGTTTAAACTGCACACAGTGTTTAAACTGAACACAGTGTTTAAACTCAACACAGTGTTTAAACTCAACACAGTGTTTAAACTGCACAGTGTTTAAACTGCACACATTGTTTAAACTGTACACAGTGTTTAAACTCAACACAGTGTTTAAACTGCACAGTGTTTAAACTGCACACAGTGTTTAAACTGAACACAGTGTTTAAACTGCACATTGTTTAAACTGCAGTGTTTAAACTGCACACAGTGTTTAAACTGAACACAGTGTTTAAACTGCACACAGTGTTTAAACTGCACATTGTTTAAACTGCACACAGTGTTTAAACTGCACACAATGTTTAAACTGCACACAGTGTTTAAACTGCAGTGTGTTTAAACTGCACAGTGTGTTTAAACTGCAGTGTTTAAACTGCTCAGTGTGTTTAAACTGCACAGTGTGTTTAAACTGCACAGTGTGTTTAAACTGCAGTGTTTAAACTGCTCAGTGTGTTTAAACTGCAGTGTTTAAACTGCTCAGTGTTTAAACTACACACAGTATTTAAACTGCAGTGTGCTTAAACTGCTGTGTTTAAACTGCTCAGTGTTTAAAGTACTCAGTGTTCAAACTGCTGTGTTTAAACTGCTCAGTGTTCAAACTGCTGTGTTTAAACTGCTCAGTGTTTAAACTACACACAGTATTTAAACTGCGGTGTTCAAACTGCAGTGTTCAAACTGCACACAGTGTTTAAACTGCTCAGTGTTTAAAGTGCGGTGTTTAAACTGTGGTGTTTAAACTGCAGTGTTTAAACTGTAGTGTTTAAACTGCTCCCAGTGTTTATACTGCAGTGTTTAAAATGCACAGTGTTTAAACTGCAGACAGTATTTAAACTGTTCAGTGTTTAAACTGCTCACAGTGTTTAAATTGCACAGTGTTTTAACTGCACACTGTTTAAACTGCTCAGTGTTTAAACTGCACACGGTTGTTTAAACTGTGTTTAGGGTTCCATTTTTAACTCCCTGTGAACCTTAAGATTATTATTCAGTTATTAATCTTTAAGGGCCCATATTATAAAAAACAAATCTCCTTTTTTTTCAAAATAAGAGTCTAATGTAATGTGTAAATATTATTGTTTAAAATGTACCGTTCACTCCCTGGTACCTGAAGTCCATATATTGTCGCTGTCCAAAGAAAATCATGCATCTCCATTTTTGTCGATTTTTATTTTTCTACATCATTTCAACACACCAGCTCTCCTTTATGTTGTGTGAAAATTTCATTAACATTTGATAAACGGACCAGTAGAAATGCTCTAAAATCACTTGGAATAAAACCTCTTCACATTAACTTACACTGAAAGGCAAGAGTGTTAAAGTTACTATTTTGGAGATGCTTTTCTTTGGACAGCGATGATATGAAAACACAACAACAGCCTGTTTTGAATTCACTGTTTTTATGATGTCAGAAAGGCCAATGCATTTACCTGCAGCTGCCAGTTTAGCCTACTGCAGTTCAGCTCTGTCTATTTAGGCTAAAGTTATAAGGAGTGTTTCAGCCCCAACAACACAGAGCAACCAATCAGAACAGAGCTCTTTTACATATATTAGTCTTGAAGGCACAGTAATGAAAATTGGTTCATTTTTAATTGGCCAAGTTTGTCCACGCATTGCAAAGGACACTCAGGACGTGACTGAGAAGGCAAATGTAGCATTGCTAACTAGGCTAACTACTCTAGCTGATGTTAGCCAGATCCAGAAACAGTGCAAATAAATTTCTCTGACAAACCAGTCCTCATTAGCATCCAGTGTTGTAGCAGTTAGCTGTGTTTTTTTAAAAATATAACGTTTTTAAGTGTGTTCCTTTTTTGTGCTGCTTGCTGTTTTTAGCTTATAAGAGTAATCCTCCAGCTCCAGACCTACGTTATTTTTCAGCTGATATACCTTGTTTTCCCCTTACTGGCAGTTTTCTGTTCATTGACTCTTGGGTCATTCTACAGAAACGTCCACTCTCTCCATAGGAGTCACTGGTGTTACTGATCCTCACTGGTTACTCATAATAAAGGAACACCAGAGACATTTTAATGAACAATGCATTTTACAGAATAACTGCTACAGAGCATCAAACCACATGTCGTCAATCATGGAATATCCACTAAAATATGTAATTTAATCCATTTGTGTTCTATTCTTTTACAATGACCTCAGAATAAAGTCGGTCACACCAGTGACTTCAGCTAAAAGCTTCATATGAAATCATGAGCTAAATGAGAAAATCTCTGATAACTGAAAGACACAGTGGACTCACCATGAGCTTTTCTTCATAGATCCTCAGAGAACAGGTAAAAGGAAGTCAAGTGATGTCATCAGTGTGACTTTTATTTCACGCAGTATCACCAGTGACACGACTCCTGGGGACAACAACTTTCATTATATATTGTATAATATTTATTTGCCATTTGTTTTCTTTATGACATTTAATTTATATATTTCATAGTCATGTAGAGATTATTGTAGTTAAAATAGCAGAAAAACATGTTTTTACCTCAAAATATGCCCTCAGCCTTCACACACGACTGTGAGGACGAGCTCTTCTGTGGTGCTTGGAATTCTAGATAATTGAGTTAAAAACCAATATTGCTAAATTGAGGCTCAAGAAGGTTTAGTTGTTAAAATAACTTTTTATTTTAAAATATAATAAATTGTAACCCTAACATGTTTTTAAAGTGTAATATGTCTGTAAACGCCAGGGACACAAAACGTTTCCATAGAATGACTTCCTTGCAGATTGTCGAATGTCAAAGTAAATCATGATGCACATCCCTAGTGTTCACTCGATCCCTCACTACTCTGAGGGCTCATCTAATAAACTTCACTGGAGTTAATAAAGTAAAGAAACAGCCCTTAAGATGCCACCGGGATTCCCCCCCGAGGTGAAATGGTGGGGCCAAGCGGTCGAGGGCACATAAACCAGTACTGAAACATTGATCTTAGTAATGTTGCGTCCCTAAAATAGATACTTCTGATCTGATCAGTGACTGTTTGTGTTTGACCTGGAGAAAGCAGCAGTTTTGGGCAGCAGTGGGACTGAAGCAGATGGGCTTTTCCTCCTCCTTCATTCATCTTTCTCTCACTCACTCCCACTTGTCTGTGGTTTTAAGTCTCTCACTTCCTCTGTGTGTTGTCTGCCTTCTGTTTCCTTCCTGTGTCCGTGTGTCTGTCATTAGGGGAAGTTGCGGCCGAATCGTCACGACACCCTCATCTCCTTCTTGCCTCTGGCGCACATGTTTGAGAGAGTGGTGGAGGTACGGTGTGATTTAACCTGCCTGTCTGTTTTACAGATTCACTGCATGCTCAACCATGACGACACTCACATATCATACCTTCCCCTCGCTCACATGTTCGAGAGGGTGGTGGAGGTACGTATAATATAGTGACCTCAGATTATTTAGTGTTTTCACTGCTCTAACAAACCTTATTCACCTCACCGGTAAACGTCTGCACTCTTAATGTGCTGAATCAGGCGTAGAAGAGCAGGAGAAACAAGCTGTGCAGCACAGGAATCACTGTGAGCCTGGACTGGCTAGCACTGCATTACACAGTTTCCCTCTTACCTAAAGCTGAGTTAATCAGCCGAGAGATGTGTGGTGTATCTCTCTGCTGTCAGAACAAAACCTTGAATCTCAATTTTTGCCATTTTCTTTTTTTTGACATTATCTGAAAATACCAACTGGCCTTTACACTGTGTGAACATGTCATGATGAACGGACCAACAAAAATGGTCCAAAATTGTGTGAAATGAAACATATTAAACATATTAAAAGGAAGGTAATAGAAAAAAAACATTTTTATATAAAATACAAGGTTTTGTGTGTATATATATATATATATATGTATACACACACACATCCTCTACAGAGAACTTAAATATATGCACATTTTAGTGCTCAATTTCTTTGCTAAGTTTAACATGGAAAAAAATATAAATATAAAATACTGTATTATACGTAAAATATACATATTTTATACATTTTTTGCATATAAACAGTAACAGTGTAATAAAATGTGCAGAAGTGTGTTCTCCATAGATGTGTGTAAATTATTCTAACTTAGAAAATTGACAAAACCTCGTATCTCCAAAATGGTAACTTTACAGGAGAAGCAAAAAACATACTTTACGTTCAATGTAAGTCAATGGAACCAGACTTTTTTCCAAGTCATTTTGAGCCGTTTCTTTTGGTCCATTCATCATGACATGTACAAACAATATAAAGGCCAACAGGCACTTTCAAATTATGTCAAAAATCTGAAGAAAAAAAAAAATTGAGATTTGATTCCTTCAGAGTCTGATTGCTTTGTTATTCATATATACGTGTATGATGCCCTCTAGTGGCTGCATGCTGTATATGCAATGACAGTGAATCAACTGAATGATAAGTGTTGTGGTCCTTACCTCTGTCTGTGTGTGTATATGTGAAGTGTGTGATTCTGGTCCACGGAGCGAGGATAGGTTACTTCCAGGGTGATATCCGTTTGCTGATGGACGATCTGAAGACCCTGAAGCCCACTGTGTTTCCTGTCGTCCCCAGACTGCTCAACCGGATGTTCGACAAGGTAAGAAACACTTAAAACTGCACATCCACATATAATTCCTCATATTCATAACCGCACTCACCTTCATCTACTCAGACACACTCTCTCACCTTTGCTCTCAGATCTTCGGGCAGGCGAACACCCCGCTGAAGCGCTGGCTGCTGGACTTCGCTACGAGGAGGAAGGAGTCGGAGCTTCGCAGTGGTGTTGTGAGGAAAGACAGCATGTGGGACAAACTGATCTTCAGCAAAGTCCAGGTAACGTCCAAGGTTGTATTTCTGCTTACTTCTACCGAAGTACTGTTCTAGGTGAGGGTCACTCATTTCCCTTTAGCCCGTTATTTTAGTCTGATATGTTTGACAGCATCTGGACTGACTTACTGTTGCTAAAACTTCTCATTTTTTGGACTTTATCATTTTATGTTTGACCAAAATGAGATGAGTAGAGTTCAATCACTCAGATCTCAGGCTAATTACATACTGAGGCACGTTTCACATGTACTTTCAACTTCTTTTTAATTATTTGTTTTTTCTTAAACATTTGTTGCTTTGCATGTCACTTTACTACAAGGACAGTAAATTACTCATAAATATCATTCGACTGACTCTTAGTGTGGTGGTGTGCCTTAGTGTCAAAGCACTTAATGACCAAAGGGGTAAAGCGAGGTCATTTTTATTTGGGCTGTCCAGAAATGAGGCATCTTACTGAAAATCATATATTTTTTTTTTTAATAAAAAATGAGAACTTTTATTTTGAAGACTGCATCTTAAAATTACATAATATTAATATCATGTAAAACATACTTTATTAATGTAACTTTGAACCTTTGCACGCTTAAGTGGTTCTTTGCACGGTGAAATGGTTCTTCGGATTTATAGAGAATGTGCTGAATATGGTTCTATTTAGAACCTTTTTGGAAAGGGTTCTATATTGCACCAAAAAGGGTTCTGCTATTGTTACAAGCTTCACGTTGTAACAACAGAAGAACCCTTTCTGGTGTGATACAGAACCAGTTCACCATGCAAAGAACGCTTCAATCATTCAAAGGCTTTTTGAGTGTCCATGGTTCTACACAGAACCATTTTCTTTACTAAAGAACCCTTGAAGAACCATCTTTTTTTTTTAAGAGTGTGGTCTTTAAACCAGAGTGCCCCTTTAAGTAGATTTGGGACCTTTTGACCTTTTTAAGTTTTATTTTTATTTTTTTTAAATCAAGTAGGTTTTTGGTCACTACTTGTCATCGAGTCATCCTAACATCTAAATTACAATATTTCATCCTATATTTAAGAGACATTTAATCTGAAGAATTGTTTTAAATGTTTTGCATGTGGTCAGTTACAACATTAACGAGTAGCACTTCACCTAAAACAGCTACTCATGCTTTTTCAAATTAACGTGCTGGTTGCTTTCATTTAATAATTACAGCAGTTTGTTAAGACTGTAGGCAGCCTCAGAGGCAGAAAGAGAAAGGAATAGTGAGAGACTGAAAAATGATCCTAATAAAGCCTAATAAATGAGGATTTTGGGTTCAGACCCCAAGTAGGCTGCAGATATAGTTACTGAATGTATTAAAATGAGAAGAGAACAAAGGAAATTAAAAAAGGAAAAAAATGGGATTTCTGCTCCGTGTCTCCCCCTGCAGGCCAGTCTGGGTGGGTGTGTGAGGCTGATGATCACCGGAGCTGCTCCAGTTTCCCCCACTGTCCTCACATTCCTAAGGGCTGCTCTGGGTTGCCAGGTACACTGATGAACTATTACACCTACTCCAAATTTCACGTTTCATTCCAGAACTCAGCACCACTTAGATAAAATATCCCTTTACAATCAGATTTATTACCATCTACATTTAGCTTAATGATCAGTTTTGTCCACAATAAGAGACAGTGAATACTGTCCACACTTGAATTAAATTGCAATATGCATTCACATTAAATTACAATATACATTAAAATTAAATTACCAAATATACACAGATTAAGGTCCTATGTACACTCCGGCTAGATGACCATTTTAACCGTGGGTGAAAACTCCAGGCCTTAGATTACTACCACTATGATTAGGGTCCTGATAGACTTAAGTTACCACTAAATTAAATGGAATATATTATTATACACTAGGGCAGGGGCCGGCAACCCAAACGTTAAGAAGAGCCATTTTTTCTGTAAAAACCAAACCACCTTCTGAGCCACAACATTTTATGTCCATTTTACCATCTTGGCTGTAAATATGTGTTAGTACGTGCTAATGTCATATAGGCAAAATATAAACGGAATATAAAAAATAGAATATAAACGAAAATGCAGACTTACTTTGCTCTGCTTTAAGCTTTAGCTGAGCTACAGCTGCTTTTCTCACATCTCCAGCAGGAAACTTTTCTTTTCTTGTAAAATGTTTCTCAACTTTGGACTTTTTACAAGGCTGAATTCAGCTTCTCATTCACCACCTCCTTGTTCAGATTTTCCCATTCCACCTTAAATGGTGCCTGAGGCACCAAAATATAGCTATTGAACCATCTAAGGTGGAATGGGAAAATCTGAACAAGAAGCTGGTGAATGAGAAACTGACTTTAGCTTTGCGACTTTTTAGTGTTTGACAGTTTCTGGTTGCAGATGAATTAATTAATCTTAAATCTTTGCTGTTTCTTTAGCTACTAACTAGGTGAGATTCTTTTCAGTGTTACTACGGTGACCAGCAGTCTGTGCTGATCTTCAGGGTTAAAGGGTGAATTAGCAGTTCTACATTAACTCCAGCATTTAAGACCATTTATTGTTAAACTGTGTTGAACGATCAGCAGAGCTTTATTTTACTGTAAAGGAGGATTATTTTATTTTCACCTACAAATCTGATTCAGCTGTGGAGCCACAACAGGGCAGTAAAAGAGCCACTTGTGCTGCACGTTGCCGACCCCTGCACAAGGTTTAGGCTGTTATCATATCTAATTAGGTCACTGCTACACTCATCTACATTGCTGGTCTCCTGATGGTGCGTGTATGTGTGTTACTCAGTTTTATGAAGGCTATGGACAGACTGAATGCACCGCGGGATGTTCCATGTCTCTGCCAGGAGACTGGACGGCAGGTAATACATACTTATAATCGCATCCAACATATTATAATACTATGCAAAAACATATCCACACAGCTCTATTGTGTCTGTGTGTTTAGGCCATGTGGGAGCTCCACTGCCGTGTAACTACGTTAAGCTGTTGGACGTTTCTGAGATGGACTACCGTGCTGCAAACGGGGAGGGAGAGGTCAGTCACTGTAGATTTTAAAGGGCTTAGTCCTGACTTAGGACTAGAAACCGGGTGATAACTTTACTGGAGAAGCCTTTGTACACGATTTTGTAAAGTGAAATTTAGAACAATAAGTACCCAATTTCGTCCATTTTATAGCAATTAAATAGGAATATTTTATAGCAGTACGTTTCACTAAGGCTCAACTTTATTTCTTATTTTTACTCCTACCCCTTGTTTTTGAGTGTCTCTTTGCCCCTTGGAACTGAGTTACAGGGTAGTGGTTGAAATCTTCCCTCTGAAATGGGACCCTCAAATAAAAAGAGCATCACTTCATTAACAGCTACCAGCGCTGCTCTGTAGGCGACCCTGCCAGTCTGCAGTGACAGCAGAGGAGGGTAAAGTTCAGCTCCTCACTGCTGGGCTTTAGTTACATTAAGGGCATCATATGCCTTCAAAGAGGGGGGCAATAATTTATTATCATCCACCCCTAATTCTTCAGTGATATGAAGCTGAAGTATTTTCCCATTCCACCTTAAATGGAGCACCAGTTACATTCTGGCACTTGAGGTGTCTGGTGAACTGCTATCATTTAAGGTGGAACGGGAAAGTTAGCTAGCTACCGAGACATTAGCATGCTATTAGCGATTTTTGTGCTTGTTATGAATAAAAGGATCATAATACACTGAAACAACATTAAACTAAGATAAAACAGTGGTTATCAGAATTTTTTTAATGGAGAAAATTCTCACATTTGTGGGTTTCTTTGGTCTCTTGTTCAGCCGTCTTACAGGTTTTTCTTTTTTTCTCATATCTCTCTGTTTGGAGTCTCTGAAAAACCTCCGTTTGGAGGGTCATGTAGCCCCAACACTTCACCCTACCCCTCTATCTCAACAAGAATCGGGACACCCTACCCCTAGACGTGAACACGCAAAACAGAGGGGTAGGGCTGAGTGGTAGGGGGGAGGGGGGAAATGGGACTTGGCCTTAATCAGAATCTGCATAAGCTTCACTATTTCAAAACTGTTTAATCACTTTAAAGGGCTCATTTACGGAAACCTAGACGTTTTATGCAGTTTGTAAGCAGTGTTAAAGTTTCAAAGCATGCTGCTCACCATGCAATCTATATATGGGTACTAAGCTGCAAAACAGCTCATTTTGACTTGTTTTTGTGATGTCACAAAAATCACATATACACATTTATGTACATCTGCCTGTCCAGCCTACAGCAGGTTAGCCCACCCATTCACACTGAAGGTACAAGTAGTGTTTCAGCCCGGACTGCTTTATGAGTGAGGCACAATATAGGTCAGCCAATCAGAACAGAGCTCATTTACATATCATCCAATCGGAACAAAACCTGGTATCTCCAGAAAGTGAACTCTACAGGAGAAGAGAAAAAAGGCCTCAATTTTCAGTGGAAGTTAATGAAGAAATGATTTATTCCATTTCACACCATTTATCATGAAGTTTGAAGTAACGATGTAAAGAGCAGCTGGCAATTTCAAATCATGTCATCAAATAAATAAATAAATAAACAAAATGGAGATGAGGTTTGGTCCTGGCTGAAACAATATGTCAGTCTTAAAGGTACAGTAACAGTCTGTTTATGTCTAAGAGATCCAAAAAATATGTGGCATATGGGCCCTTTAAAGTACACTCTTGAAAAAAGCTGTTTCTTCAAAGGTTCTTTGACAAAGAAAATGGTTCTATGTAGAACCATGAACACTCTTGCATGATTAAAGGGTTGGTGAAAGAGTTGTTCAGATTGCACAGAGTGCTGAAGAAGGTTCTATATAGGCTTCTACATAGCACCCAAAAGGGTTCTGCTATTGTTACGATCTCAAGCCTGTAACAGTACGAGAACCCTTTTCAAAAAGGTTCTATGTAGCACCATCTACAACACATTCTCCATCAATCTGAAGCAGGCTTTCACGATGCAAAGAACCATTTAAACATGGAAAGGGTTCTTTGAGTCTTCATGGTTCTATATAGAACCATTTTCTTCACTAAAGAACCCTTGAAGAACCAGCTTTCTTAAGTGTGTACGTGTCTTGTAGCTGGCAGACTAGACCTTTAACGTGTGTGTGTCCTTTAGGTGTGCGTGAAAGGACCAAACGTGTTCCAGGGCTACCTGAAGGATCCAGAGAAGACAGCCGAGGCCATCGATAAGGACGGCTGGCTGCACACGGGAGATATTGGAAAGTGGCTTCCGGTAAACTGAACACCCAACATGCTCCACCCAAACACTTCAGCTACAGCAGCTGCACTGAAGAAAGTTTAAACACAGTCATACACCGATCAGGCATAACATTATGGGCACCTCCTTGTTGACTGCAGCACTGCTGTGTCTGATCCACTCAGACCAGCACAACACACACTAACACACCTCAGTCTGACATCATTTTAAAGTCCTTAAAAACACAAGCACTGCTCACTGCTGCTCGTCTCACTCTGACTGGACTCACGTGTTGCTGGTTGTCATGGTAACGTCCACACCAAGTGGTTTTCCACGCATGCGCAAAATTTTGGATCTGATTACTTGTAGTGAGCATGAAAACGGAGATTTAGAGATTTTCATCAGATTGTTGAGTAGAGTGAGATATAAACACCTCAGTCTTAATCTGTAGTCAGAATAAATTCAGTCGGATTGGCAAAAATCTTTGCATGTAAACAGAAACTGATCTACAGGCTAATAAATGCAAACAAGCCTGCGTTAGTCTAACTCTTACCTCAGTTTCTGAACATAAATATGAAGAAAACCGATTCAGCTTTAAATGGACACCAGAGACATTTATTAATACATGGTATCAGTTTGTATAAGTGCTACAGCTGAATTAACTTAGTTGAACATCTCAGAATTTACGCTGTTCTTCTGTTTCATAATGACACACAAATTCTTCTGTATATTCCATAATAATTCCTATAACTTTGACCTGTGTGTGTTTCAGAACGGCACTCTGAAGATCATAGACAGGAAGAAGCACATTTTCAAGCTTGCGCAGGGCGAATACATCGCTCCAGAGAAGATTGAGAACGTCTACATTCAGAGCGATCCTGTAGCCCAGATCTTTGTGCATGGAGAGAGTCTGCAGGTGAGGGGGAGGGTGTGGAGGTCAGTCTCCAGAGTGACCGTATCAGACTCGCTTAATATTTTCAGGAAATGCCTTTATGCCCAACAGGCAATGTGCACACTTTTAACTATCTTCATTAGTTCTTCTTTAGAAGTTTGTTTTTTGTTAATTTAGAGGCCTTTAAAAGTGGGCGTGGCCTCTTTCTTTGCCTTACAAAAGGGCCCATGTCATGGAAAGAACAAAAAGTATTCACTTTCTGATGAGTTTGATGTGTTTATAGTTTAAAACACTGTAAAAGTTTCAGAATGTACTATTCATCCCCCAAATAATGCAGTCAATATATGGAAATTAAGCTGCAAAATACCCCATTTTAATTTAATCGTTTTTGTGATGTCATGAAAACCTACACATTTGCAAATACGCCTACTCAGTCTACAGCAGTTTAGCTCCGCCCATTCACACCACGTTATACAGAGTGTTTCAACCTGGATTGCTTTTTAAATGAGGCACAATATAACAGCCAATCAGAGAAGAGCTCTTTTTCACATATCAGTCTTAAAGGCAAGTAACAAGAACGTCCTGTTTAATTCTAAGAAATAAAGAAAGGCTAGAAAAATAGAAAATGGTCAGGTAAAAATTATAAGTGGACCCTGGTTAACAAAATAAAGTGCAATAAAAATCTAAGATATGGGCCCTTTAAAACTAGTGCTGTGGAAAAAAGGAAAAGGTCCATCACTTTTGAACAACTGATGGAAATTTTCTGTTTTTTTTTTTTGTTTTAAGTTGCGTTTAACTACCAAAACAGATTGATATTTGCAATTTTAGAGCTCAATGAGAATCTGGAAAAAGAATTCCATCTTTTGTAAAATGAAATGCATTTGACACTTTAATAAATATAAGCATGTATATGAAACCATAATACGAGAAATAACAAAGTCCAGACTGCGTTTCAGTGTGGATACAAGTTGCTCCAGTGCATTTTTTATGAAAGATATAAGATGCCACACATGCATTTCTGATAGTTAAACACCATATTTAAACACGCACTAATTCAAATAATAATACAGAAATAGCAATAATAGTTCAGAAGATGGTGGCTTATTTTACTTTACCTGCCTCTGTTTGTGAGCTTCACTCATGTTCTGCTGGCTTGTAGGCGTGTTTGGTGGGGATTGTGGTGCCAGATCCCGACTTCCTCCCAGGATGGGCAAAGAAAAGAGGCCTGGAAGGCTCCTACACAGAGCTCTGCAAGAGCAAGGTAACATACACATCCACACAGGTCAATGCAGCTCAGAGCACATCAGAAGCACCTTATTTACCACAACTGTTCTATTTTAAAGGTATCAGTGCAGAATGAAACTGAACGCTGTTGTCTTTGTGTTTATCTGCTTGACAGGAACTGAAAAATGCCATTCTGGAGGATATTGTACGGCTGGGGAGAGAAGCCGGCCTGAAGTCCTTTGAGCAGGTCAGATGAAGTCCAGCTCTGTGGTCAGAGAAACTTCCACAGTCTTCTCTTTAGGGCATGAGGCAATAATGAAGGAGCCCAGAGAGAAGAGAAGATAGTGTGACAGAAGGGAACAATGAAAAGCTGCTAAACTAATACAGATCAGATATCTTACACTTTGTGTAACTACAGCTGGTCACACATTTAAAATGCTTTAAATCTCCTCTTGCAAAGACGGCTGTAGGCTTCATAATCGTCCATCTCAGAGCTCTCACTCGTCCGCTCTTTACTTAGAGGTGTTTTTGAAAGAGGAGTTCACATCTTCACGTACATTATTATATCATACACTGATCAGGCATAACATTATGACCACCTCCTTGTTTCTACACTCATTGTCCATTTTATCAGCTCCACTTACTATATAGGTGCACTTTGTAGTTCTACAGTTACAGACTGTAGTCCATCTGTTTCTCTGATACTTTGTTAGCCCCCTTTTACCCTGTTCTTCAGTGGTCAGGACCCCCATGGACCCTCACAGAGCAGGTACTATTTGGGTGGTGGATCATTCTCAGCACTGCAGTAACACTGACGTGGTGGTGGTGTGTTAGTGTGTGTTGCGCTGGTCTGAGTGGATCAGACACAGCAGTGCTGCTGGAGTTTTTAAACACCTCAGTGTCGCTGCTGGACTGAGAATAGTCCACCAACCAAAAATATCCAGCCAACTGAGTCCTGTGGGCAGCGTCCTGTGACCACTGATGAAGGACTAGAGGATGACCAACACAGACTGTGCAGCAGCAGATGAGCTATCGTCTCTGACTTTACATCTACAAGGTGGGCCGACAAGGTAGGAGTGTCTAATAGAGTGGACAGTGAGTGGACACAGTGTTTAAAAACTCCAACAAGTACACCTATATAGTAAGTGGAGCTGATAAAATGGACAGTGAGTGTAGAAACAAGGAGGTGGTCATAATGTTATGCCTGATCGGTCTAACTCTTCTGATGGATGTACAGTAATAGCAGAATGATATCTGTGCATGTAAAAAGGGCTCTGAGTAACTAAGAGTAACTGTCAATGAGATCATAAAATTATTTATTTTACTGAACTATTTGGGTAATTTTGGTTAAAAAAACATGTAATTCTAACTATGTTAAACGTGTTTACCTGTATGTTTGTGTGTCCCTTCAGGTCCGAGACATCGTCCTGCACCCAGAAATGTTCTCCGTCCAGAACGGCCTTTTGACGCCCACTCTGAAAGCTAAGAGAACTGAGCTGAGGAACCACTTCAGAGAACACATCGACCAGCTGTACGCCAGGATCAAGATGTGAAGGATCTCAGAGACAAAGAGAACAGGAAAGACAGAGGACGGGAGAACAGATGGACACGGAAGGAGAGAGAAGATGGGAGGACATCTCTCTTCCTCTTTGCCCATCTTTTTCTCCTTCTCCCTACAGTGGACACACAGGTGGGCAGTAAAGCCTCCACAGACCCTCACACACAGGACATTCATCACTGTGGTGAAGCCTTGGTGAGCTCCCAGTTATGAAGTGCGATTATTACGATCACCACAAGGTGGCGCCGCTCTCGCGTTGCAACAGGGGTTCAGTATGAACAAGTACTTTGGCCACTTCATTCTCTATATTATATTTTTAAAAATGACACATAAGTCTGATTGAAGGCCTTAAGGCCAGTAAACGCCTTCATTCAATCTGAATCATATTCATTTGTTCGGTAACACTTTACTGTAGGGTGCTGTTCATAAGGCTACATGACACTTACATAAGCTTGTCGGTAACACTTTCTATTAATATTTCATTGTTTAAACACTCCAGCAGCACTGCTGTGTCAATTCATAACATGTTATAATGCATTCATAAATTCATAATTTATGCTCTCCAAGCTGGGACTGACTTCTTTGGCAATGGCAGTATAACATGTTATTAACACTACTTATAATGTATTATATTAACAATTCATAATGTATAATAAACATGGCTATAAAGTGTAATTCAATATTTATAACCATGTTTATAATGCATTATGAATGCATTATAACGTGTTATAAATGTGTTTATAGATGCTTACAAATATGACATTCATAGAAAGTGTAACCAAGGCTACTTTACTCAAAATTTATAAGTGTAACCTTTATAGCAAATGACGATTATTGGAACAAGCATTTATAAACAGTTATGCAGGGTTATGTCTGTTGTCATGACAACCTTATGTAGGTGTCATGTTGCCTTATGAACAGAACTCGTCAGTAAAGTGTTACTATTTGTTCTTATTGATTGATTGGTATTAATCTTATGTCATTGATGTTTTAAATTTAATTGCTTTTCCCAATTTAACCAAGTATCTCAAACGGCTGTCCTGCCTCGGTCAAACTGAAGTGTACAGAGACGTCTGGCGGCCATGAACAGCAACATCACCAGTGAAAGATGGAGACGTTTAATGATTTTTTAATTATTTAAGCAAAATTGTAATTATTTGTAATTTCAGTTGTGAGCTTTGACTGAACTCTGGCATCCACAGCTAATCCGAGTCTGTTTCCTGCCTCGACTCTCCATCAAGTGCATGTGTAATATAAATTGCTGACCTTTTAATGTTCAACGCTAAAATCTTCTCACTTTGTTGGTTTAATAAAAGCACTATTGGCCAAAGCTCAGAGTTTAACCAGTCCTGAGATGCTTTGCCACAATCCTCAGGATACTTTAGCAGGAGACTGTCCAGATCAGTGTGGTCACTAATTACTGTCTTCTGTATTATGAATTACAGCTATGAAAGAAAACATTAGATTTATAACGATTTTAATGAGAAATTTATATACGTCTGAAATTTGAAGTAAATAATGACGCAGTGCGCTGCAGGTTTATCTCGACCAACAGTGCAGGAAATCTCCATCCAGGTCACCAGTGCCTCCTCTATGCTCTTAAACATGCATTCTGTACATAATTGATCTGTTTTAAATGTGTATTTTATGTATTGAAAACTGTGCTGTAATTTACAGTGTGTGTGCAAACGAATAAAATGAGCAACTGCCTTTTACATGACTGTAAGTATTATTTATGAGGATTTATACAACATTTATATATCACTGCTGTTGGAATCGTATCTCCATTTTTGTCGTTTTTCAGTTTTTGACATAGTTTGAAAGTACCTGTTGCTCTTTACATTGTATGTAAATTTCATGATGAATGGACTAAAAGAAACGGACCAAAATTACTTGGAGAAAAGTCTGGTTCCATTGACTTACATTAAATGTAAAGTATGTTTTTTCCTTCTCCTGTAAAGTTACCATTTTGGAGATACGAGGTTTTCTTCCGACAACAGCGAAATGTAGTTGGTTGAAAAGTGTTTAACCCTTGTGGTTTTATAGTGCTGTGCAAAAATTAGAGACCACCCTTTATACTCAAAACAACAAGTTAAATATGTGACTCACTATAAACAATAAAATGGGGAAAAATATAAAAAAAAAAAAACTCATTTTGCTAAAAGAAAGGACAGTCATTTTGGATAACTGGAGTCATTTCTTTCCTGAGCGCAATTTTTATCATTTTTATCATCATTACCCCACAACACCACCAAAGACGGGGCTAAAAGGGATTTTACCACACAGGTGCACTGTTGGGTAACAGGTAGAGAAGCTAAGCGTACTCAGAAAATTAATACAATGTCCAATTATGAATGTGGTGACCACGTTTTCTGCACAAATGAACCTAAAACTGTATGTTGCTGCTGTCGGAACAAAACATCATATCTCCAAAATGGTAACTTTACAGGAGAAGGAAAAAAAATATTTTAATGTAAGTCAATGGAACCAGACGTCTTGCCAAGTAATTCTGGGATGTTTCTTTTGGTCCATTCATCATAAAATTTAAACACAATGTAAAGGACAACAGGCATTTTCACATCACGTCAAAAACTGAAAAATGACAAAAACGGAGATACGATATGTTTAAACCTGTAAATATACATGAAGAAATGTTGGACCCACCAGTAACTTCCTGGACCACCTCTTCGCACGAAGCTGAAGCTTCTTATCTGAATTTTCCATTCCACCTTAAATGGTGCTTCAACCTCGTCCTCCTCGATCCAGATGGCGTGACAGTTAATGAGCAGAAGGAAGATGGAGAAAGAGTGTTCACTTCAGATTCACTTCCTAGAGGTGTCGTCTGTAAAAACGTACTTTGCATGATACCTTTACGTCTCTCATGTTGGCTTGTGGTTCTTTGCCAAAAGCCACTGTTTACATGTGTCTCTGCATCAGTATGAAATTGTAGGATAAGTACCAGACTGTCCAGGTTATGTTCTTCTGTTTCTGCAAAATGGAATCACAACACTTCACTGCAACCAGGCGCTACAGCCTCCCGGGTTCTGAAGGAGCAGTACCAGAAAGCAGGACGTTTCAGGGACGATAATGTATCTGAACAAGAAGCTGGTGAATGAGAAGCGACTTCAGCCTCGTATAAAGTTGAACGCTGAGAGACATTTTACAAGAAACTCTTCTACTTTTGTTTTCTGGAGATGTGAGAAAAGCGGCTATAGCCGAGATAAAGCTTAAAGCAAAGTAAGTGCGTTTGTGTTGATATTATATTTTTTATCCTATGCTAGGACATCAGCACATACTGAGACATATTTACAGCCAAGATGGTAGAACAGACATAAAATGTTGTGGCTTCCAAGACTTTACAAGACTTTACAAGATTTTTTGTTGAAAGGACAAAATGGCTCTTCTTAATATTTGGGTTGCCGACCCCTGATCTAGTCCATACGTGATGCCTGGTTTGCTGAAAAGAAAAAAAAACTTTCACCCAAGTGGAAATATTACAATTAAATCAGACGGACCAGACGGTATATATGTTGGTTTGATTTTTCAAGTTCAGATGTTTTGCGCTAACTGTTAATATGTTTGGCCAGACTTTTATTTTGAACCAGTGAGAGTTTTTTTTTTTTTCTGCCAACCTATGATCGTGTTACCACACGCTCCAGGAATTTGGCCAGAAAGAGCAGAGAGAACGAACGCATGAAGATCTCAGTGCCTCTTTTTCTTGACCTGTATATGAAGAATACACCAGAATTACTGAAGATCCTGGATTAGATTCAGCTCACAGTACCTCATCTTGCTTTGTGCTTTTCCAAGGTTGAGCTGCTCATCATGGGGGGAAGTTATTCTAAGGAAGAAGAGGAGCTTTTCATGGCTAAACTGTTCAGCTTGGCTCTGGAATCTGGTCTGATGCCTGATATTGACATTGACGACTCCTTGACAAGGTATTCGGGATTGAATTCAACAGCTGTCCTGGAAGACTACTCTTCCCAACTGCTGACGGACGTGGTCGGCAAAGCTCCAGACTATGTGGCAAGTCTCGGTGCAGCTATAGCTGATTTCAAAGGGGTACCAAATGCAGTGGGATTAGGTGCACTCATCATTTCCTTCATCCTGGATCTCGCACTGCTATCTTCAGCCATGGACAGCGGTGACAACACTCTGAACATGATGCGTCGCGTGTTCGCCGAGGAAAAGGCTTCGGGTGTGAGAGACATCATGGACGAGTACATGAAGCGTCTCAGGATGCATATGTGGGAACCGCTGAAGGCGCTGGAGGAGACGGAGCGTCTGGAGAAACAGCTGAGTGACCAGCTGACCCGTCTGAGGAACTCCATGCTCCACGACGACCAAATGAGCACCCGGTCCATGAAGCACTGGATCAACGGCGCCGCCTTCCATTCGCAGATGCTCGTTCATGCAGCCCGGCTGAAGGTGGCAGGAAGTGCCTCGATTCAGAAAGACCTTAAAGTCCGCGTGACCTCCATCAGCACCGTGATTGACATTTATCAGAAGGACTTACAGGACCTGTTAGACAAGTACAAGAAGCACAAACGTTCCTCCATCAGACTTCAAAAAGCAAGAGGACGGTGTTTTAGAGGAGGTTGTGTAAAGTTTGGATGCAGTGTTCATGACTCTGAGGTTGGACGCCAGACTCCAGGTACCCGTGAGGATGAATACTGCGAAAACTCTTTGGACGCCTATCTGGACTACATGTTCAACAACTGGAACCTGATAAAAAAGCTGAATGACTATTTCTCTGTCCTTAAGGGGAACCTAAGGGAACTTATACTACAGCGCCAAGCTTTCAATGTGCAAAACATCTCACCTGACTCAAGCACTGCTATGGACTAACCAAGACTGAACATGCTCTCGAATGAACTTGAATGCAGTTATTAACAATCATTAACACAATTACTAAACAAAAGTGCAACACAGGCAGAAGGCTTGAGCTAATCATTTGCAGATATCACAGCCCTGTTGATATGCAGATATCAGAAATGTATTGTAAACATATGTTCATCATATCACATTAATAATATCATGTACACACATTATGTGAAAAAGTTGTCATGTAAAAAGAATTATTGTGCTGATATTTGTTCAACTTTGTGGTCAGAAATAAAGCTTTTGACAGCTTCTTTTCAGTAATATTTATTTGGATTAATACAATTTTATGCATTTAGATTGGAAAAGTACAACACGGAATTAATTGTGTTTTGCACTGATTAACCAGACGTTTAGCAACCATTATAACTAGAGGGTTAAGGGCTGAACAATATGCAACAGCAGTTTAGTTTAGTTTCTTTCCCATAACTTCATGATCCTGAGGCCCCACAGAAGGTCCTGTTTATCCCTACAATGTTTAACCCAAAGTTACGCCCATGGAAGAATGAATGAGAGTTTGTTATATAACCATACTGTTCCAACATGTTCCAGGAATTTGGCCCGTAAGAGCAGAAAGAACAGACGTAGAAAGATCTCAGTGCCTTTTTTCTC